GGCGATGGCGTGTGCGTCTTGCGGGTCTTGGGGGCGGCCGGCGGGACGGGCCGAAACCCACTGGGAGTTCTTTTGGAAATAGAAACAAAACCAAAACCGCCATCTTGAGTGTCTTGGAGGCCTCTTGGGCCGTCTTGGGGGCCTCTTGGGGCCGTCTTGGGCGCCTCTTGGGCCATTCTGGGGCCATCTTGCAGGCCTCTTGGGCGATCCTTGGGCAATCTTTGGGAGCTCTTGGGCCGTATCGGGCCGTCGGAAGGCCGAAACGAAGCAAATGTCAAAATCCTTCAAAAACAGTCGGGAAATCACCCTTTTTGGCCTCTTCTGGCCTTCCTGGAGGCCCTCTTGGAGCCCTCTTGGGCCGTCCCGAGCCAGCTGCGAGCCACCTTCGGCCATCTTGGTGGGCTTCTGGCCCGTCTGACGCCGTCGGAAGCCGTTTCGGGTGCCTTTCTGGGCCGACTTGGGGCCCTCTTGGGGTGCTCCAGGGCCGTCTTCGAGGCCATCTTGGGCGTCTTCGAGGCCTCTTGGGCCGTCTGGGCGCCCTCTTGGGGCCGTCTTGGAGGTCTCTTGGGCCGTTCTGTGGCTATCTTGGAGCCCTCTTGGGCGATCTTGGGGCGACCTCGGCGGCCTCTTGGGCTGTCGCGGGCCGTCGGAAAGCCGAAAAGGCGCAAATGCCACAATCCTTTAAACACGTAAGGAAAAGCAATGATTTTGGCATCGGCGGGCCTTCCTGGAGGAACTCTTGGAAGCCTCTTGGGCCGTCTTGGAGGCCTCCTGGGGGCTCTTGGGCCCATCTAAGGCCGTCTTGGGTGCATCTTGGGCCGTCTTGGACGCATCTTGGGGCCATCTTAGCCGTCTTGGAGGCCACCTTGGCCGTCTTGGGGGCATCTTGGAGGCCATCTTGGGCCATCTTGGCCGTCTTGGAGGCCATCTTGGGCGTCTTCGATGCCTCTTGGGCCATCTTGGGGCCGCCTTGGGGACCTCTTGGGCCGTCATGGGGCCATTTTGGACTCTTGGGCGATCTTGGGACGACTTGGGGGCCTCTTGGGCCGTCTTGGGACGTCGGAAAGCCGAAAATGCGCAAATGCCAAAATCCTCCAAAAACCTAAGGAAACCAAATGATTTTGGCCTCTTCGGGCCTTCCTGGAGGACCTCTTGGAGGCCTCTTTGGCCTGTCTTGGAGGCCTCTTGGCGGTGTCTTGGGCCATCTTGGAGGCCTCTTGGGAGCCTCTTGGACCATTTTGGGCTATCTTGAGGCCATCTTCGGCGGTCTTGGGTGCATCTTGGGCCGTCTTGGAGGAATCTTGGGGCCATCTTAGCCGCCTTGGAGGCCATCTTGGCCGTCTTGGAGGCATCTTGGAGGCCATCTTCGGCCATCTTGAGCGAAAAAGCCGACGAGATTGGGGAATTGAGCGCCTTCCGGGTGGCCGGCGGGACGGGCCGAAGCCCCAGGGGGAGTTCTTTTGGAAAAAGAACCAAAACCAAAACCTAGAGGGTTCAGCACGCCAGGCACCCTTGCGATGAATCGACAGGGGGCGGCGGATCGAAGACGCCTACGGCGAATCACCGCCGCCCCCTGCCTTTGTGGAAGCGCCTATGTGGCCGAACGTTGAGGCCAGACCTGCCAAGCCATCGGACCATGTGTTCCCCGAATCGGTTTGGAAAGCCTTCGGGGAACACGTGGGCGTCTTGATGGTCATCGTCGTCGTCTTGGAGGCCTCTTGGGCGATCTTTCGGCGATCTTTGGGGGCTCTTGGGCCGTCTCGGGCCGTCGGAAGGCCGAAAGAAGGGAAATGCCCAAATCCATCAAAAACCTTGGGAAAATCAGTGATTTTGGCATCTTTTGGCCTTCCTGGAGGCCCTCTTGGGGGCCTCTTGGGCCCTTTTGGGCCAGCTTCGAGCCAACTTCGGCCATCTTGGTGGGTTCCTGGCACGTCTGACGCCGTCGGGAGCCGTTTGGGGGCCTTTCTGGGCCAACGGGGGACCCTCTTGGGGCGCTCCAGGGCCGTCTTGGAGGCCATCTTGGGCGTCTTGGAGGCCATCTTGGGCGTGTTGGAGGCCTCTTGGGCCGTCTTGGGGCCCTCTAGGGGCCATCTTGGAGGCCACTTGGGCCATCAGGGGGCTCTCTTGGGGGCCTCTTGGGCGATCTTGGGGGCTTCTTGGGCCGTCTTGAGCCGTCGGAGAGCCGAAAAGGCGCAAATGCCAAAATCCTTCAAAAACCAAGGGAAAATCAATGATTTTGCCCTCTTCGGACTCTCCTGGAGGACCTCTTGGAGGCCTCTTGGGCCGTCTGGGAGGCCTCTGGGGGGCCTCTTGGGCCGTCTTGGGCCGTCTTGGACTCTCTTGGGCCGTTTTGGAGGCCGTCTTGGACCATCTCGGGCGGACTTGGAGGCCATCTTGGGCCATCTTCGCGATTGTTTGAGGATGTCCCGAGCGAAACGGCCGTTTTTGCGCACGGTGGCGGGTTCTGCCGGAGCCCACTGGGGAGTTCTTTGGGAAAAAGAACCAAAACCAAAACCTAACAGCTCGTCCAGCACGCCGTGCACCCCTGCAAGCAGGGGGCGGCGGATCTAGTGGCCTTCGGCCTAACTGGCCACCGTGTCTGGGTTGTGAACCAGAGGCCGCTCCTTTCCGGGTCTCTTAGAGGGCCTCTTGGAGGCCTTCTGGCGCCCATTGAGGGTCTCCTGTGGGTCCCTTCAAGTGAGGTCCTCCTGGCCGTCTCCGAGGCCATCTTGGGGTAGAGAGCCACAATGCCAGTTCGAGTGCCCCTCTCGGGGCTAACTTTGGGGGCCTCTTGGGCCCCTCTTGGCGCCTTCTAGGCCGTCTTGGGGCGGTATCGGGGGGTCTTGGGCCGTCTTGACAGACCGAAATGGCGAGAAGGTTCTAATCACAGAGGCAAAAATACGGTAGGTTCGTGTCGTGTCGACCGGCGGCGAAACCGCCAACGGCGTTCAACGTTGAACGCGGCGGGCAACCCAGAATCGTTCGATGTGGAACAATTTGGACGTTTCGGAAACGGCTGATCGTTCAAGGTTGAACGATCCCCGCGGCGTCAAAAACCAACGCCGAAGTCGGCACGACACAAACCTGCCGTACGGTTGTTCAATGTTGTTGGAATTGTGTGGTGGATCCCAGAGCCTCCAAGATTGCCCAACGTGCTCCAGGACGGGCCTTCGGGCCATCGTATAAGTCATGTCGGACGTGTCGAATCCCAACCAAGGCTCGCAAGGCCTCTGGCAACTTCACTCCGCGATTCCCCAGAGCGCCCAGGAGCGCCTGGACCTCCAGGGCCCAGGCCTCTTCAAGAGCACTTGCACAAGTCAACACACGGAACTCGGTGTGACCCGAGGATGCCCACTGAGTGCCTGCGGCAATGTGGCTCGCGCGCAGCTCAACGGTTGTGACTCTCGCGCGCAGCTCCCGAGACTACGTGCGTTCCGCGCTGCACTCTGGGGACCGCTTGTGGGCCCACTTACAGCGGGCCCGCCGCTCCTGTCATGGACGGAGGAGCCGCACGAGCAGATCTGCCCCGCACTCCGAGGTGTCAGCAGGCTGCACGCGCACGCCCAGGCGCTGCAGCAGACCAAAGGGGGGCCGAGGCTGGTGCCCCCAAGCCAGACAACACCACATGCAGGCGTCGGGCGGGGGGCCCTTTTGGGGCCCTTTTTGGGCCCTTGCCTGCTCCACAAGGATCCCTAAAGGGTATCTTTATGGCTTTATGGTCCTTTTCTCCACCCCCCTGTCAGGTCACCCCCCACTGCCGCCCGCCCGAAGGTTTCTGCGTGAGGGAGGAGGGCTCGGGGGCCCCTCCCCCGGGACCACCCCCGCGGAGACCTCGAGATGCGGGCGCTGCCATGGTGTCGCCCCGCCGGATGTTTTCGCTCGGGCTCGGCCCCAGGAGTCCTGACAGATCAATCGAACTCAAAAACTCACGCAGACGAGAAGATCGATCGGGTCGAGGTCTCTGGTCGTGAAACTTCACGGCGCTACAATGTTTTCAAGACGTTGGTAGGACGGGTTCGGAGGAGGATAAATTCGCTTCAGAGCGCTACGGAATGCTCTGAGAAGTCCGCGGCGCCCGAGACGTTCTCCAGAGCCGCCAGATCTCAGAGGTTCTCGATGTATCGCCATCCGATGTTATCCTCGTCATGGCTTCGTCTTGAGCCTAGGTCTCCGGTCGTGAATGCTTTCAAGACGTCGGATCTCATGGAAGAGCGTTCTCCAGAGGTTTAGCCCTCTCCGCGGCCGTGCCATGCACCCCAGGAGGAGGAGGAGGCGGAGGAGGAGGAGGAGGAGGAGGAGGAGAGGAGGAGGGGGGGAGGGGAGGAGAAGGGGGGACGGAGGAGAAGGGGGAGGAGGAGGAGGGAGGAGGAGGGGGGAGGGCTGCATCGGGAGGAGGAGGAGGATGGAGGGGAGGAGAGGGGGGGAGGGGGGACAGGAGGAGGAGGAGGAGGAGGAGGAGGAGCAGGAGCAGGAGGAAGAGGAAGAGGAGGAGGAGGAGGAGGAGGAGGAGAAGGAGGGCGAGGAGGAGGAGGAGGTTGAGGAGGAGGAGTGAGGAGTGAGGGGTCAGAGGAAGGGCGAGAGGAGGGGGGCAGGAGGAGCAGAGGAGGAGGAGGAGGAGAAGGAGGAGGAGGGACGAGGAGGAGGAGGGAGGAGGAGGAGGAGGAGAGGAGGAGGAGGAGGAGGAGGAGGAGGAGGAGGAGGAGGAGGAGGAGGAGGAGGAGGGGGGAGGGAGGAGGAGGGAGGGAAGAGGAGGAGGAGGAGGAGGAGGAAGAGGAGGAGGAGGAGGAGGAGGAGGAGGAGGGAGGGAGGAGGAGGGAGGAAGAAAGCGGACGAGGAGGAAGAGGAGGAGGAGGAGGCGGAAGAGGGAGGAGGAGGGAGGAGGCGGAAGAGGGAGGAGGGGGGCTGGAGGAGGAGTCATTCTGGATAGCTCCGGGTCTCCGGAGGCCCGGGCCCCGCGTCCGTTTTTGCCGCCGGATGTTTTGCAAGCTGGTTCAGCCGAGGCGGCGGCAGATTCCGACGACAAAAAGTTCAAGTGGAAGGTCGCGAACACGAACTATATCCGGAGGGCTGGGCGGCGCCACCGTTCGGGGCTCAAGAGACAGTGGTCAATGCAAACGGGGGTCAGTCGGAGCTCCAGGTCTTGCAGGATCATGCAGGGCCAGGGGTGCACTGACCCGGGCTTAGGTGGAGGATCCTGCAGGATCCTGCACAGCTTGACTGACCCGGGTTTGCATTGACCCGGGTTATTACTTCTCCGAACCATGCCTCACGCGTCCACAATGGATAAGTTTGGCGGTGCGCACAAGGGATTGGCAGATAGTGTCTGTTGCGCTGGGTCCTCCCATGTCATGTTGGCGCATGTGTCTTGCATCGGCCCATGAGGAAACATGTCTTTTTGTCGCGGACTGGAGCACAGACACAAGACATTCAGATTACGAGCGGCGTGTGCAAGGGACGCCAGGAGGGCAAATAAAACAAATGAGAGGAGTTGGGCATGGCAGGACCAATAATAACATTGCAGTCAAGTTCGGCAAGAAGGCACCACCGTCGGCGCACAAGAGGAGGATGACGGTCTGCAAAGAGACAGGCAAGTTGATCGAAGCAGGATTCGAGTTTCTGCACTTCCTTCGCCACGGGGGAGGGGGCCTTTCTCTTGATTCGTAAGTGTTGAGCCAGACCCCGGGTAATCCATACTGACTCGGGGAACGTTTTCAACAATTGTCAAGTTTGAGATTACCAGCGGCGGAGCTGGAAACAGACCCTTCAGACGATGTTGCACTCAGGCAGAAACATCTGTCATTGGTGAGTCGTGGAGGCTCGGGGCCCCACAGGCCCGCTCCTCGCATTTTTCCTTGCCTGGTGCAGTCTGAGGGGTACAGCTGTGGAGCAAATCCTCCTCCTTTCTCCTCCTCCTCCTCCTCCTCCTCCTCCTCCTCCTCCTCCTCCTCCTCCTCCTCCTCCTCACTCCTCCGCCGCCTCCTCCTCGTCCTCTAGGGATGTGACCCCATGGGCGGGGTCCGGATGACCTTACGGCCAGGAGTTCGTTGGCACTGCAAGCGTTGCAAAGGAACGACAAAGGACATTTAGAAGCCGAGTGTCGGAGCCAGGATCTTAGCGTGGTTTCCTCAGCTTGGTGCAGCTGCCTGCCACTGTCGAAGCGGGGAAGCGAACCTCAGGAAGCCATCAAGAACCACCCCACCCCGCCTTTCCGGTGTTACAATAACGCATCCAGCACCAGGAGGTGTTATCCAGGCACCCTGGGGAGGAGAGGAGGAGGAGGAGGAGGAGGAGGAGGAAGAAGAAGAAGAAGAAGAACAACAATCAAGAAGAAGAAGAAGAAGAAGAAGAGGAGGAGGAGGAGGACGACGAGGAGGAGGAGGAGGAGGACGAGGAGGTGGAGGAGGACGAGGAGGAGGAGGAGGAGGAGGAGAAGGAGGAGGAGGAGGAATAATCATGTATTGTTGCGCTTTGGCGCGGTGCTAACGACATCGTTCGGCTGAATCCGCCCCCGCAAACTATGTATGTTCGTTTCGGTGCTGGCGATAACCCAGGGGGGGTTCTCAATGGCATCTTGAGGTCAGTTGGCGCGCCGAGTCGGCGCAGACGGGCGCTTCGTGTGCTTGGCAACGTCATCGATGTTGCCGGAGCCCTTGCCCCCCAGCGGAGTGGAGCGCATCGAGGGCCGCGCGTTCGGTCCAGAGCACTTGCGCTCACATCCCTGCTCCGGGCATGCGGCGGCCCCCGTTCGGCCAGCCCCTGTCCCCTCGTGGCCCTCGTCGGGGCTCGGGTTTTCGGTTCCGCGGCGTGCGGCCACAGAGGAGGAGGGGGAGGAGGAGGAGGCGGAAGAGGAGGAGGAGGAGGAGGAGGAGGAGGAAGGGGAGGAGTAAGAGGAGGGGGAGGAGGAGGAGGTTTACCTCTGGGACTCCATAGGGTACAAGGCCGCCAACAGGGATAATCTGTGGGAGATTATTACCTTTGTGCGTGTCATGAGGATGCCCTACATCCTAGGAGGTGATTTCAACATGGACCCGTCCTCCATAGAGGGGGGCAACATCTTATCGTACATGAATGGCACCATCGTCGTGCCAGACATTCCCTACACCAACGCGGTGACCAAAACCATGATTGATTTCTTCATTGTAGATGAGCGTTTGGCTACGAGCATCAAGGTCAAGGGGCACTTGGATGGCCCCTGGAGCCCACACTACGGACTCATCTTGGACATGCCGCGTGAGATCTTCACCAAACAGATATGGGCCATTGAGAGACATGCGCCAATACCTCGAGCCCTGGGCCTGCTCGTCCGTGGGCTGAGTATTTCGGGAAGGCGTTTCACCAGGTCCAGGGAACCCAGCATGCACAATATCCGACGTGTTTTGGTCACCATGATGATCAGCTGACCCAGACATTCGCAGTTCTCTGTGGGGCAGTGGAGCTCCAGCAGAGGGACATAGCAGTATCTGGCATCGAGTGCCAAGCAGGGCTGGTGCCGCGCTTCGCTTGGAAGCCGCTCCTTGCCGCCCGCGCCCAAGGAGGGACGTGCCAAGTCGGCCGCCACCCAGTGGGCTACCCTAGGCATCCGCGCGCAGGAGCGGGACCACGCCAAGGCAGATCACCAGCACTTTGAAAGGTTGCAGAAGTTTGTCGCGAACGTTGCAAGCAAGATCCAGTACCCAGATATGACGCCAGAGGATTCTTGGGTTCTTGGATCCTATCTTGGGGGATATTCCGACAAGGACACACAGGCTAAGGGGTTGGAGATCATAGATTGGGTCCAGCACCAGTTCTACCTTTCGGAGCTCCAGGTGTACCAACAAAGGACCAGCCACACCGTCTTTAAGAAGACCAAGGCCCAGGCCACGCCGTCGGACATCGCCGACGGGACCGTCAGGGCAGACTTCTACATTGCCAATGCGGCCGCCGACGCCGTTGCGCGCAGGGCGGCAGAGTTCTTTGCTTTTACGGAGGAGGAGGTCAGGGAGGTCAAGGCCAGGGATGAGGAGATGCAGCTGATCAGATCCCGTCTTGCATGCGTCCAACATCCTAATGTGAAATATGGCCCGAACCTGAAGCAGCAGAAATACCCAAAAGTGTACGAACATGTCGTCTCCGAGAGTCTGACATGAGCCCGCATAACATTGTGAGGGATCCAGTAGACGAGCCAGTTAGATGCACGCGTTGCGCTGCTTTCTCTGCCAAGCCGTCTCCAGGGTGGGTTTCACAAGTTTGCCTGTCCAGGAAGTATATTTTTGATGTCCACCCCTCCCACCACCCCGATATGTGCATGATCAAAGGGGTGATGTTTTGTGCCAAGTGCGGGGGGTGGGCCGCCTCGAAGGTTTCGAAGCTAGCCAGTCCTTGTGAGAAGCCGACAAGCACGGGGATCAAAGCGTCTCGTAGGTCGTTGCAGGGACTGAAACCCAAAGGGTTAATTGAATGGCCGACGGGACAAGTTGCTCATCTAAGAACGCAGGTTGCCACCCGATGCGGCCTCCCACGAGATAAGATTGTCTCGTGAGGTTTTCAGGAAGGGCCCTGGCGTGCAGGGACCCACCTTCTAGTGCAGGTCAATAGGTCAATAGGGGGAGGAGGAGGAGGAGGAGGAGGAGGAGGAGGAGGAGGAGGAGGGGGAGGAGGAGGAGGAGAAAGAGGAGGAGGAGGAGGAGGAGGGGGAGGAGGAGGGGGAGGAGGAGGAGGAGGAAGAGGAGGAGGAGGAGGAGGAGGAGGAGGAGGTGCGACCTCGCAGCCCACCCGCGGGGCCTCCCGCCCTCCCCTTCTGCGCCTCGCCTCCGGGTGTCCCGCCTGCCGCCCAAGATTGCGCTTCGCTGCTGAATGGTTTTGGTCGAGCAGCGTGGCCTCGACCTCCCGAACCTCGATATTGCATGGCATTCTGTTTCCCCTGGAGCGTTCCGCCGATGCTGGCGCTGTGGGCATTGCAGCGGCTGAGGTAGATGTCGTGAGGATCTTTGGCCGCGATGTGGGCCACTTTGTCCTCGAAGGCCTTCCCTTGCGTTCGACCTTCTGATCTTTGTGCTGCATGTCCTGGTGCTTAGTCTGCTACGCGTCCGAGTCTCTGCTTAGCACGCTTACTTATCTCCCAGCTCAGCAAAGCTGCCCCTTAGATCCTGCAGATCATTGGATGCGTCATCGGCGCCTGGCGCAGTGCAGAACGAATGGTGGTAGGGTGCCCTTTCGCTGCTTACCAGCCCTCTGGGACTGCTTAGGGGTGGCCAGGTGTGAGGCACGTTGGGCGCCCCTGACTCCGAACTGGGCGCGCTCCCACGCTCCTGGACGCAATCATGCTGCTTCTGCGCATGCCCATGATTCTGCGAGCCACGCGTGGAAATTCGGCCGTTCCGCGCGCACGTCGCCAGCTTGGACATCTGACTGTCCTCGTACATCGCACCGCCGAGTGCAAGAGCCACCACCGAGCGTCTGCGCAGGGTAGACTGAGTCGTGTTTGGAAAGCGCCAGCACCCGACCACGGGAAGGCCTCCGAGGTGAGGCCCTCTGGGCTTTGACAGGCCCCTTCTACACCGTAGAGGTAGGGCCCGAGGAATCCCGCTGATCTTGCTTATCCTCATGTGCCTGCCGGCACCGCTGTCCGCGCAGTGGCCTCGAGGGCCCCCCACTTCGACGCCCCCGCCGACGGCGTGGGACACGCTTCGCCCCCGCGGCTGTCCGAACTGCTCGCCCCAGGCCTGTCCGCTGTCATGGTGCCGCTGCTGAGGCGCGACGCGGAGGTTACAGTCGACCTGCATAGTAAGGATGGGCAGCGTTCCCAAGGGTACCCTTGCATCCTTGCCTCCTCGGTCCATCCTTGGCGGGGCACCATTGCGTCCTTGCCTCCTCGGCCCATCCTTGGCCACTTTCGTTGGCCGCGCCCCGCTCGAGAAGCTTCGAAATGGGCGTCCAAGGCCCTGGCATCCTTACAGCGCATCCTTCTGATACAAGTCGATTGTCGAGGAGGGAAAGTTGTGGACGACGATCAATGGAGAGGAAGCGTGTTTCCACATAATCTCCAGATGTCTAAAACATGTGTTCTACATGTTTTAAACGTGTAAAGAACATGCTGCAAGCATGTTTAGAACATGTTTCAGGCATCCGCAACACATGTTTACCTCAATGGTAGGAATGTAAAATTATCCCAGTGCGACCGTACCTAGGAGTTGGAGCCCCTAGGAAAGCAGCATTAGTAGTAACAGTAAAGCTAAGCTAAAGCTAAGGTAAAGCTAAGCTAAAGCTAAGCTAAATTTAAGTTGGAGCTAAGCTAAAGCTAATCTAATACTAAGCTGAAGCTAAGCTAAAGCTAAGCTAACACTAAGCTGAAGCTAAACTAAAGCTAAGCTAACACTAAGCTAAAGCTAAGCTAAAGCTAAAGCTAAAGCTAAGCTAAAGCTAAAGCTAAGGCTAAAGCTCCCAGGGGACTGGGGGAACCGCGAGGCGGGGACTGGGGGAACCGCCAGGGGCGGTTTCCATTGCCCGCCCCTTTAAGCAAAGAGAGTAAGAACCCTTCTAGGCAGAGCCTAGGTAGGGAAAAACACATGATAAAATCAACAGGACTAGAACATGTTCCAGACATCTTGTTAGCGTGCCCATTGCCATGGCACCC